ATAGACGAGTTGTTTCTTTTTGTATAGTAGTAGTATATATATATTTATTTTGTATTTACAAATCGAATGAAAAGTGAATCGATAGATAGTTTCCATCCATCCATCCATCTCCTTATTGTAGAGTGGTAGGGTCACAAAGCAGGGTCCGTTGTTGCACTAACAGACCCTACTTTGAGACCCTAGTACCGATGCCTCTTAGTAGACCATAGTGAAATTGTTATATAATTATATTTGACACTCATACTCATATCATTTACACTTTTAAAGATTGGTGCAGCCTTAGATCAGCACACGTGCCACTGAATAAATTTAATTAGGTTCATAATTAAAAAAAAGTACTCCACCTAATTGTGAATCTTGTGTAATGTATGAAGATGTCAATCACATATTAACGGAATGTGTGAAGTATAGGTTAGCCTGTGAACGCTTAGTTTGATTGTATAAATTAAATATATTTGATTCCATAATATATTGTCCGAACATAGCTCTAAGGTGGTTTTATGTTTATATAAGTAAAACAATTGCGCTTTCTTGATAATGAATAACGTAGAATATAAGTGCTATTGTTAATATATTCGTTATAAAGTCCGACGAGACTGACGTACGCATATTTGTGTCATAATCATTTCAAGCTGTTTGAGTCCACTGCTGAACATAGGCCTCCCCCACAGACTGCCACGAAGCACGATCCTGAGCCATCTGCATCCATCGACTTCCCTCACATTTGCACAGTTTGCCATTCCATCTACTCGTAGGGGGTCGTCCTATACTGCGATAATTATGTAGTATATTTGAGTTAAAGTTCGTAAATAAAAAAAAAATAGAAACGCATCCTATCCCCGTGGTTTTTTTTACGTCGATGGGGCTAATTACTCAAGATCAGGCGCCTCACCAGTTCGCTATCTATCGTTTCACATAAAAAAAAAGAGAGAAGTGAGGGAAATTTCATACTCATCCGTCCGCGCAATTTTCGTAAAAAAGGCTACAAAGTGTTTGCTTTACGTATTATTGTATAGACGTATATATATATATATATATATATATATATATATATATATATATAAATCCATAGCGCAAACTGTCAGGCTTATCGCGTGATGCAGACGGACGGCTTACGGGTATCTTACAAGGCATGCGGCTGGGAATTAGGATGTTTTTATATCGACGTCATGATGTTTTGTTCACGTCGTTCGAAGACCCTCCGCTAAGTTGTGCGTTACTCCGATCGTGATAAAGCATACAACTGTTTTGCTCATAAATAAACAATTATTTCGCGACACATTTTTAAACAACGTTACATAGTCCCAAACTAAGCAATGTTTGTACTATGACACTAGATTACTGAAGAACATACTTATTTTTTTTAAATATAGGCATATTATGATTAGTACCTGGAGGACCGATTTTCTAACGCATGTACTTTGGAAATAAAAAAATAAAGAAAATGATCTAAATATAGAAAAAAAGTAAAAAAAAAATAAGTGTGTAAATGATCGTGTTACAAACCGCGGCCGTCTGTTTTGTGGCATAACTTTTTTTTTTGCGGCGAAATTTACTGTCATATTCGAATGATATTTTTCATTCCCTGAAAACAGGTATAAAAGGACATTTTCTAAAAATGAAACCTAGCCAGATCAATTTTTCGTCCCCGAATATACAAGATATATATATACAAGAATTGCTCTTTTAAAGGATAAGATATAAACACCCGGACACTCGAAAAACACCATCTGATCAAGCCCAAATGTTACAATGTTACATTAAAGAAATATTATTAGATATCAGCAGAGAGACCTTGTTATATAAATATGTCTTTCTTTCGACAAGGTTAGGTTGAATGTAGTTTTTTATATTATCTGTTGGGATTAAAATAGTTTTCTTTAAACATGATGTATTTGGTGTCTGCGTAGCACGGTATCATTTCATCTCTGTCCTTTACTTTAGTCAAACGTGGTTATTATAAATTATAAATGATTATAATTACGCAGTGATTAATGTATCTTTATTTCGTGACAGTTTTAGTGTGATCGCACTTAAAAGGGACTTGTAGAACTTGGCTCTTCTGCTTGTACTCGTGTATATTCTAGCAAACTGGAAGGAATTAGGAGCCTCTAAGTAAGTTGCTAGTTCGCTTGCTACTTCTTACCGCCCCCTTCCATACTGTATAATAATGAAGGGAGGATATTATTTTAACAATCTAAACTCAATCACTTACTGTTTAATACAAGTCATTTGAATATTGTCGAAATGATAACGAAAAAAAATATTTCAATGATACGTCAAGTCAGTTCTGCCAATTCGCGGTGGGGTCGCGTGGTGAACTAAGCTCTAATACCCTCTGTAAAGAGAAGACCTTTGCCCAGTACTGGGATATGTATAGGCTGTTACTTTTACTTTAGTTTACTATACACGAATAATTCATAAATAAATGAATTAACTCCCACCTTAAAGGCCGGCAACGCAATTGCGACTCGACCGATGTTACAAATGTCGCGGCGGTGGTCGCTTATCATCAGGTGACCCACATGCTCGATTGCCTCGTATTCCCATAAAAAAAAAAAAAGTCATTCGAAACTGTCAAGGCTGTTGCTTGTGCCCGGCACTGGGACATGTATATGGTGTTACTTAATCTACTCTATGTGTATATATCTATATCCTTCAACGCGAACTCTTCGGACATCCACCGTAAACAGCCACCGGGCCAAGTGCTAAACGGGGCCCGCCGTGACAGTCTGTCACGCGCGGCCGTTTCTCGTGGCCCCACTAACTCGGCACAATTCGCCGTAATTCAGTTTCAGAAGCGGAAAAACGCCCCGCGATAACTTTCCGAGGGCGCTAGAGGAAACTGCCCTCGACTTTATCGTTCGACCTTTACTCTGTTATTCTCCCTTAACTCTGAATCCCCCTTCTTATTTAACCGACCTCAAAAGGAGGCGGTTTTCAATTCGACTGTGTTTCTTTTTTTCTAGGTTTGTTCCCTCATAACTTTTGACCGCGTGGACCGATTTTGATGATTCTTTTTTTATTTTAAAGCTGGTGCTTCCCACGTGGTGCCATGTTAATTTCATTGGTATTGGATCTCGGGCTCCTCCGGTGATACTTGGGGAACTCCTGAAAATGATTTTTTTATGTGATTAGGTGAGAAGTGAGCTGCTGGTTCATCTGATACATAGCGATAATATAGTATTTGCTTATAGGAGTTCCGTGACCATACCACGAATAAAATTCGGTTCAGAACCGTAAAAACGCCCCACGAGAATTTTCCGAGGAAACGGGCCTCGCGCGTGGAATCCATTCGACCTTTGCTCGGATTGTCGTATTTAATCTGTTGTTGCTTCTCGCGCTGTGCCGTCAACTAGTTTGGGCGCGACACGCATCTGGAGCGCGAAGATATCGTCTTTTCATTTCGTCCCTACATAGTATAAAACAAAGTCGTCCCGCTGTCTGTCCGTCCCTATGTATACTTAGATCTTTAAAACTACACAACGGATCTAGATGCGGTTTTTTTTTTACTAACTACATAGAGTGATTCAAGAGGAAGGTTTATATGTATATATTTAATGGGCGGGTCGCTAGTTAACTATTATTAATGTTTTTCTTTTTTCAAAAATAAGAGATGAACAATTATCTCATCCCGGTATGCATTTTTTTAGTATTTAAAAAAAAACATTGCCTTTACTTGAGGATAACATTATCCTGTGTTGTAAGGACGTCTTACATACATAAATTTCACGTGAACAAACACCCAGATGCCGTACCAGTGTAGCCAGGAGGCACACAACAGTCCTCAATCAATATTGCACGAATGGGTAGGTCCGTCCGGAGTACAACTACCTCACGGAAGACCTACCTATGCTTCTGTGTTTCTTCTAGTGGGTGAGGTAGCCGGGGCCTCATTAAAAGGTGGCAATGCATCTGCAACCCTACGCGTATTGCAGATTTCAATGGGCAGCGTTTATCACTTCACACCGGTGAAACGCCAGCTCGCTTGCCACTGAAAAAATATATATTCTTAATTCTCTACGCAGATAAAATGGATCGCCTTCTGTTGTTCGCCACTTGAATTTTATTATCTACGTAAGTGTTGTGTGTTATCGTTGTGGGATTTGTTTGATATAACTCCGTGTCAATGACTAAAGCAAATCTATTACGTAACACATTCAAATTTCTGAAGCACGCCTCCGTTATCCATAGAAATGTCGCTTATCCATGTTGACATAGATTTTTAAATTGGACCGGCAAACAAGTACTCATTTATTCTGTTGGTAGTGGATATTTTTGTAAGAAACAGTTTTATCATTTGTAATAGAACATAATGTAAGGTAGAATTTATCAAGCATTAATGAGAGAAACAAAACGGTTCTTAAATGAAGTCAAACTTTGTCATCAGTTTTCAAATAATACTCCGATTATTGATGTTTTGTTTCTTTGAGCTGTTTCTGATAAATTTTCGGAACTTGAATCCTAAAGACGAGATAAGCTCGAGGTCTATTTTGGGGTTGCGACTGTTGTGACCAGTATTTGATTGTCACATCAATAAAGCAGCCGGTAACAGCGCTATAGTGACTGTCACGCGCAGCCTTGGCCGTCCAAAAAGCATCGATATCGATCCACATTGGCCGCGCATCGACACATTTAATGCACGGAACGGCACGCGCCTAGCATATCCGACCCGCGAATCTCATCAGTACTTCTGTACTCACTACTCCTCAGTACATCGCAAGACGTCTGAAGCGCTGCACGCGTCCGACTTGTGGTGACGTGTGGCTCGGAAATTTGCAATCGCGTCGCAGTGTGACAAGAAAAGATTTTCTTTCGGTATTCAAAGCGATTATTGATCGATTATTGAATTTAAAAAAACTAATAAGCATCTATCGGTGTTTAGCGCTGTCCATGTTCGGAAATAGTGTTGTGCTGATGTAGAGAATTTACTTTTTCTATAATAGAAAGATACTGTCGTGAAGCTTTGATGTTAACATATGGCGGTGCGAATATAATTACTGTACAGAGACAATTGTGGTGACAGCTATTTTGTTAGACGATGTTTCGTGTAAGGTCGGCGTCTCGTCTGTGACTTTCCTCCTGTGCGATTTATCGGTGAGGTGCATCGTGACATTGGCAACATGGCGCGCCTGGCAACCAGCGCGGTCCACCTGTGCCAACGGCTGCAGGAGCTCTACCCCCAAAAGCTGCAACTGGCCAACAAACAGGTCATTGAACCCCTTTTGTCTGTTCGCCCAACCTTTGGAGTTTCTTTGTATTGCCAATTTGTAAGGTCGATGTCAAGTTTGGGATTTGTGATAAGCAAAACACATATTATTACTAGATTACGTCCATAAATATTCATCCATAAGTATATACATTAACATTTTGATGATAATTTTTTGACGAACACTTAATTCTGAAATTATCTCGTGTCCGAAATTGATTAAGAATGTTAACGCCCTAAAATGATTGGAGAGCGTGTAGATGTGCTTCCCTAGTTCTTCTCTATTGCTTCTTTGTGGAGCCATCAAAGCGAATTTGACTCGTAGTTCTGAAACGTCGCTAAGCGATCGACTCAATTCAAGACTGAAGGCAGTCAGAAAAAGCCAGCCGGCGGAAATTTGGACAATGGATCTTTATACACTGAAACACAACTGAAAGCAAAAACGTCCGATCAAGAGAAACATAATAGAAAATAAGATGAAGGATTCTTCTTCTTGAAAGTTTAGAAATAAGTTATTTTCTTTTGTTTCTAAGACACAACTACACATATATCTTATTAGACGGTTTTATTTAGCTCGACCCGTACGGAATTTATTTGTTTATTTATTTGGGTCAAAATTAGAAATTGAAATTTAAGCACCTTCCCGTTGTCAGATTGATCTGAAATTTGGTACACACATTTAATTTAAATGACAATACAATATTGTAGTTTTCAATGCACATAAAATAAAACCGTTTAACTTAAAAGATTTTAAACGGTTTTATTTATTCTTTCAAATTAAACATAAGAATATAAGCTCTTATTATGGACGTTGTTTTTTGAAAAAATCTCATTTTATAGCAGTACTTACCTACCTACTCACTCATGCCTTTAATTAAAAATCCAATGTAATTTTATTACAAGAGCGCTTGAAAGTGATCGATTAATTGCTTTATGGCGTGAAAAGTTTACTGTTTTTTTTATTATTTTACGAGTGTAATATCGTGGTGCTATCTCGCCTCATTAAAACACTGATAGGCAGAGTGCGTGCCGCGGCTTTGGCCGGTGCAATCTTTGACACCTGTTGTGTATTATACCGCGCTGTATTGAATCGTGAATTGAAACAAACGCAGTTATGCAATAATATACTGCACTCATATGCAGCTCATCGACCGGGCGCTTGCTTCTAATTCAATTTATTCGAGTAATCCGAGTTCAATCCCTGGTGCCGGTACCAATAAAACTGTTAGGTAGCCGGAGCCCAATTTTCAAAAGGTCGCCAACGCATCTGCAACCCTCGGGTGTAGCAGATGTCCATGGGCGGCGGTATTCACTTAACATCAGGTGAACCGCCTGCTCGCGTGGCTACTTGCATACTACTGAAAGTGCTTAGGTAATTCATCATGAAATATTTTACATATCCTTTCATTTCATCGTGATGTCTTGTAAATTACCCATTGTTTTGTCTAAATAAATATTGCACTGAAAAAAAATAGATAGCTTTTCTTAGATTTCTAAAGTTAGATGTAAGGCCAACACTCAAGGAATAATGTTATTATGTTTAGTTTATACGAATGGGACGTTTACAACAGTTATTATAAGTGATTACAAATACTGACATTGAATTCTTTGTCAGTTCACCCTGGAGGACTCTAGCGAAAGGTGTAAACAAAAATATACAAATATGTGCACGCTTGATAATAAAAGCATGAATAATATACCATTACACAATTAACAATTACTACTCTATGTTCACGCTCACGCGAATAAATATACATAATTCCATATGTAATTAAGTCCGTAAATAAATGTATGTTTAATAGTGATCTTAACTTATGACAAATGTTTCTGCGGAAGTCTTTTAAATGGAACATTAGACGCACTACGATTTCACAGTAATTTTAGAACAGAGAATTCTTCTGCTAATTAGTGCCTATTAATAACTTCATATAATAACACATTACTCATTCCGTTTATGATTGACGTATTTTTACTTTTGTAATCATACAAATATGTATTAACATATATTCTTAATTCACATACATTAGAGAACTTCTCCCAGTTTAAGGTAACTAGCTCTTTGGTGCTGCAACAGGCGCCGTCGCGTGCTTCCACCAAATAAAAAGTCAAACGTGTCGGAACATTGACCTTCCGTTATTTTCCGTTATTTAGATGACTCCGTGGCGCAGTTGCCAAGGTATTGGCTTCGGCGTCGGGGGTCGTGGGTTCGATTCCCACACGGGACAACTATTTGTGTGACCCACAGGTAGTTGTTTCGCATCTGGGCGTTTGTCCGCGTGAAATTTATGTTTGTAAAACGTCCCTACAACACAGGATAATGTTATCCTAAAGTAAGGGCAATGTTTTAAAAAAAAAAATAAAAAAAAAATAAAAATAAATTGTTATAAGAAATTTTTTCTAGAAAAGTCGCGAAGATAGAATTAAAATTATAGTTTCAAAAATGAATACAAAAAAAATTTATACTAAACGTCAAAATTTTGCATAGCGCCAAGGGAAATTTTTTGTGAGAAATTGGCAAACTAGTTGGTGCACCTGATATTAATTGATAACCGCCGCCCATCGTCATTCGCAACAACCCACCCGTAGGGTTGCAGATGCATTGCCACCTTTTAATAACGTGGGCCCCGGCTACCTCACTCACCAGACGAAACGCAGAATTATAACACTTCTACTTTACGCCGGTCTTCTGTGTGGTCGTGGTACTTACCCGGCCGGACCTGGCCATTCGTGCAACAATGAACACTTGCGTGGTCCTACCACAATTTGATTATTCGATAACATGCATCATATATCACCTATCGATCGATCTCCCACGGGAAAAGTGCATTCGTGCGACCCCCAAATAATTCTTGCGGATCTGGTTGTTTGTTCCCTATGAGGGTTGATGGCAGGAAGGTGGCGTGCCGTAAAAACCTGGCCAATACCATTAGAAACATGATCCGCATGTTATGCCGCCCAGCTCGATGAGATAAGGACAGGAGAAAGACTAAGAAGAAGACACTCTATAAGAGAAGACATAGGACAACAAGACGTGATTGACATCGCTGATCAGTCTCAGTACCCAGTCTTGTGTACGTCTACTCCCTTACGTTTATACCGCGCAGGTCCGTTTTACGTATACGATGGCACTTTCACCGGGGCATTTATATAACAAAGTCTTTAGGACTTAGTTAAGCTATATTTCGATTTGAAGGTATAGGTCTCTTTCTTAAGTCATAGTAAACTTTAATTTTTTTTTATTTCGAACTGGCTAGCGCTTGACTGCCATCCCACCTGATGGTTAGTGGCGATGCAGCCTTTGATGGTAAGCGCGCTAGCTCAGTAAAAGCCTATTCACTCTTGCCTTGAAGATATGAACTAAATATATAGAATAGATGTTTTTAGGATTCTGTATCTGTTGGTAAAGACGAATTTTGGGATGTTATTTATATAGAAAGAATGTTTATTTTGTACATGAATACAATATTTACAATAGTTACAAAAAAATACATATCTCGATATGATATCATTTAACATTGAAAAGTGAAAATCTCAGCTTTTCCCCGAGCTCTGAGCATACACAATCCACGTTCGATTTCAAATTGCACATATCAAACAAGCCGTGGATCGCTCGAATGCCTTCCAGCTAATCGTGCGTAGAGTATATACGAGTAGAAAGGCAGGGGCCTTAGATGACGGTATTCCGTGGTATCAGACATAAAAAAATCGTTTAACATGAATAAGACACAACCGAATTGAGAACCTCCTTTTTTGAAGTTGATTGAGTCATATCGAGTGATTTTTTTTAAATTTTTGCGCCAGTTTAAATTTCAATAATGCAATCTCATCGCAATATTTTCACAAGCAGGCAGAATACATGTCTGTGACAAACTGTGTTAGGATAAAAGATACTTAATGTTGTTACCCTATAATATTGTACTAATGTACCATAAGGAAAAATTTAAATATAAATTAAATGAAGCTTAAAACATAATTTATATACGATTTAAAATATTATTAGAGAGAGATAAATATTCTACATGCATGTTATATGTGTTTGTGACATACAACATCCAGGCTTGAAACAGAAGCAATACAATTATCCGACTTAACACCTTGACTTTACTAAACAAAAATCAAATAAAAATTTTAAACGTCCGCAGTTAAAGCCAACATTGAACGCGAATAAAATCTGTAAATTAGTTTTATTTAACAAAAATCTGTTGGTCAAAAGTAGCCCTCATATTGTATCATCAATTAAATAATTTTCATCATTAAGATCTATAATTATTAATTATAATCTAATCGATCGCGTCGAGGCAAACGCTTATCAAGTAATCGTAGGTCTGGAATACTTCTACTTAGATAATACTCTATCTCCGTCCTCGACGCTGCTACTGGGTGGCCCCATCTCGTAATTGTAACGAGGCTGAATGGTAGGGTGCGAGGTCGATTTGAAATTCATGAACGCACCGACGGGCGACGACACACTGATATGTGCCTAGAGCGAATAGAAATTGGGACTATATCACGTGGCAATAGACAGCATATCTTGTATGCATATTGTTTACTAGCTGCTGCCCGCGACTACGTCTGCGTAGAATAGGCTGAAGGCGTAACATTCAGACAGAAAGACAGATATACATAAAATATGTATATAAATTATAACCTATGTCTTATTCTGATGTATAAGCTATATTATTGTAAAGTTTCATTAAAATTCATTCAGTAGTATTTGCGTGAAAGAGTAACAAACATCCATCCATACATACAAACTTCCGCGTTTACAATATTAGTAAGGATTAGTTTTTTAGGGTTACCCAAAGGTTAAAACGGGCCCCCATAACTAAGACTCCGCTGTCTGTCTCTCTGTACGTGTCACCAGGCCGCATCTCATGAGCCGTGATACTTAAACAGTTGAAATTTTCACAGATGACGTATTTCTGTTGCCTCTATAACAACAAATACTAAAAAACAGAATAAAAAGTATTTAAGCGGGGCTCCATACAACAGACATGTTTCTTTTTTGCCGTTTTTATAGATAATATTACAGAACCCTTCGTGCGCGAGTCCGACTCGCACTTGGCCGGATTTTTTTAACATTGTGGTGGTTTTTAACAAACTTGTGTTGTATCGAAGTTTTACATACATAAAATTTTTCACGTGGATAAAAAGCCAGATCCGAAACATTTATCTGTGGTTCACATAAACATTGTCCAGTGTGGGAATCGAAGCCACAACCCGCGGCGCCGTACTCAATACCTTGGCAGATGCGCCATGGAGTTTTATATTTTGATAGCATGCTACGATATCTATTTTAGTCGAGCGTCGAGCGTTTCACGTTTACTTTAAAAGCGAGTCTTGATATTATGTATTCCATGGTCGCGTTCCCTTTGTATACAAGCGTTTACTAAAACACTACATCACCTGTCCCGTCTTCACGCGTGTTGATCTATTCTACGTTAAATACTACTAGCTGATACCCGCGACTTGCTCTGTGTCGCCTATTAACAATGTATTTTATCTCGTTCAGTAAGAAAACACATCACTGAACACGTAGTACTTATAAAATCGTTGTAAAAATATAATAACCTCACAAACGAAATAATAAGACGGCTGAACGTATGCGTTATAATCGATGTATGCACCGACTAGTTTTGGACCTATCGGAGGTTCCTTCATCATACCACGAATAGCTCGCTCCGCTGTTCTCTGAGCAACTCAATTTCTGCCTTCTTCATACGGCCAGCAGTGAAGGACCACATCTCGGTTCCGTAGGTTATCACTGGCAACACACTGAACACCCGTCAGTGTGTTGCCAGTGACAACATACCGTCTGTGCATCGTTTTCTCTTTATATCGGAATGCTTTGCCAAGCTGTTGGACG